TACCAACCCGAAAAGACCTATGACGAGTCTAGACGGTAAAGTAAGTGCAACATCCTAGCAGATAAAAGCACACTGAGTCCTGACGTGGAATAATTATAAGGCTCTCCTCCCAATAAGAACGTCAATGTCACCCAAAAACTACTGAAACTTGCGCTACTCCCCATATTTACCAAACATGCCTGGATCAACACTGGCTCTGTTACCGCATACTTGGCCATTGTCCACAACATTCCCCAATATGTCATGCCTTTATTTTTCGCAGGATAGTCTGGTAAGAGTGCCCACGAGCCCAGCAAGACAACTGTTTGCAAGCCGATGGCAAGATAATACACTACACGCCATGTAACAAACTGTGCAATGATACCAGCGAAGACACGAGCAATAAGAACACCGAACAGAAGTCCAGCAAAGACGACAGAAAGAGCAGAAGCCCGTTTATGGGCTGGGGCGAGATCAGCAGCAAGAGGAAGGAGAACTTGGGGTGTGACAGAGACTAGGCCAACGAGAAAAGAGAATGTGAGGAAGACAGTATAAGATGATGTTATAGCTAGGGGAATGGAAAGAGTCGTGGAAAAAAGGACAAGGACAAGAACCAACTGGCGTCGGCGAACCAGGTCACCCAAAGGTGCAAGGAGGAGAAGCCCCGCAGCATATCCAGCTTGAATCAATGTGGGCACTCTGAGTTGAGAATGATCAGGACGAAGGAACAGATTAACAGATTAGAATGTGATACTTTGAGATTTTATCATACGATACGTTAAATGATTCCGATAGCTGGACTAGTTGCAAGCTCAGTAAATATATATGCATAAATAAGTTAGAAACCCACTCAATAAAGGCTGGTTGTAATAGAGGTTACTGACCGTAAAAGTACCAGCAAACCCAAACAACGCATTCAATACCAATCCGAAATGGAATGGCGGCTTGTCAGGATGGTAGCGGAGTCGTTCAGGTATAGGAATTAATCCGAAATCAGTGGTAGGCCAACGTTTTGTTTCAGATACCAATTCGGAAGTTTCATTTTCATCAGAGGGAGGTACCACGGTAGAGGCGGGGGTTTGGTTTCCTTCAGTAGTCACTGCTTCGGGACCCATTGCTTCCAGTGGCATATCCTCCTTCCCTGACTCAACTTGGTTTCCCATTTCCGCTTGTCTGCGATCTTCTGGTTCCTGTACTTTTGAATCTATTTATGACCCTAGATGTTGCTGTACCCTACCGGGGGAAGTTTTCTGAGGATCGTGCTTGACCTCTGATATGAGGAGGGGAAGGAATAAGCAGGGGCTGCTATCTGCCGAGGTTACTATGCATTACATACTTACTTCCTAGGCTTGTTCCCAGCCTGTCTATGAAGGTCTGATGAAGTCCTGTCTGTCTGTCTATACAAGACTCCATCAGACCTTTATAGACAGGCTCGGAGCGATTCTACTTACCTCCGAGTCCGAAAGGGAGCATATCTCCCATTGCAGTCTCCGTGCTCCTTCCGCGCAGCAGATGCAAGCCCGAATTTAAGACGCGAAGGAAAAATGCAACGGAGGGTTTGCCACCTCTGCAACATTGCAAATCAACGTGCTGGGGATTTGAGGCTTATTAGATCCATTATTGCGCATGCCATTGTGAACAAAAACATGACTTTGACCGTCGATGGTTCTTGATATAAGTGACCGTTGCATGTGTATGTACTCTAAGAGGAAAAGGGACACAAACCAAAAATAAGCATGACAGGGGTCACAAGAGGTGATCGCAATGACAGAGAAGATAGGTATATGATAGGATAAAATTTTAGGCGGGAGAAAAGATACTGATGTGAAACTTGCCGAGAATCAGAATCGAGAATCAGAGTAACAAGA